CTGCTCTCGACCCAACGACCTTGAGATCATTCACAATTCACGCACTTTTCGTCCCTTCTTGTTGTGCTCGAGAGTAGAATTGCCACCGATTCGTCCGCCCCCCCCCCCCCCACCCATCACCGCCGATCATTGACTCGTTTCACTTGTTTCCTCGTGCAGCCACCAACCACAGACATGAAAACAGACACAGATTAAGACAGACGAGAAAGGGATCGATCGGTGATTAATCATCTCGTCATTGTCACGCCTCCATCACGCTTTACTCACCACCGAATCTAAGTAAGAATTATCGATTTTCCCGCGCATCGTGCGTCCACGTGCGTCCATCTCGATTTTATTCGCCTCCTCGAAGAAGGATGAATTTCGAAGAAGAGGATTTCGATCGAATCGGTCGTTTTGTCGGTTTTTTTTCTTTTTTTTTCTTTTTTTTTTTTTTAGAGTTTTCGGAGGATCGTCACAGAGGGGAGGGAGGGGGATTTATTTAGCTCGCGTCCACGAAGTAATAGATAGTCATCGCATCTCTCATCACACGTTCATCGTCGTTCGCCATTCTCTCGTCGCGTAGAGTTCGAACGTAGCTATACAGGCATGATGCATGCGTGTGGAGATTAAGGTGAAGTAGACGATTGTTTTGCCACTCGTAGCATCACCGTCACCGTATATTAGGTACGTCTCTTGTCCAAGGATGCAAGCTTTTCTTCTCTTTCAACTTCTTTCAAGAACCAACATATCAACACCCTTCACTCTCGAAATCTCTGCTACTTTCTTTTTTTTTTTCTTCTTTTTTTTCTAAATTTCATTTTTACAATTTCATCGATCGAACGACGATGACGACGAGAATGAAGCTTGCATACAACAATATCGTAGTGGCCGTAGTTAAAGTAACATATCTCATCAGCTAGTTCTCATCGCTCTAACTACTCTAAGGTAGTAATCGTTTGTTCAATCACCTCGACTCACCGGGATTCCTCGACAATTGGGAGGGAGAAACGATTCAGTAGCGAATTTCTGAGATCGAATGCAATTACTTGTGAATGATCAAAACTAACTCTCAGAAAGGAATCCTCGTGGATGGAGAAAAAAATTGGCCGGCGAATCGACGCCTCGCGCCACACTGAATCGAATAAAAAACCCGACGAGATAAAAAGTCTCGTAGAGGATAATATTCGGATTCTCGCGTATTGTTCGTGTTTGTCCGTGTCCGATCACCGCTTGACACCTGTCCACCTAGCGTCCAGCGTCACGCGACTCGTTCGCCGATCAATCCTTTGACAACTTTGATTTAGAAGAAAAAAGAAAAAAGAAAAAAAACGCATGCGAGTAAAATCGATGCGATCCTTTGTACCCTGATGCATGCTGCATGCACGCAGGCAACGTATATATATATATATATATATATATATATATATATATATATATATATATATATATATAT